AATCCCCTGTAAGTCACTTTGGCCAGAGGGGGAGGAGCAGCAACAACGAGGAGGTGGCCAAACAATGGTGCCTTCCTCCTTGCCTGCACCTCTGTGATGAGAAGCAGCAATCAGCAGGGAGATTACAGATTCCCAACATTTGGAGGACAACATCTGTATTGCCTGTTCTGGCCCCTGCCAGTGTGTGCAGGCTGCTGCAGGAACATGTGCACAGCTACCTGCCACAGGGCTGGAGGTGAGGTAGGGGTAGCTCCTACTGTGATGAAAGCTGACATTGACGCAAGGTGTATCCAGACCTTCCCCTAGAAGTTGGAGGCCTTCATTAGGCTTCAGAGTTCAAGGATCGGTTACATCAGACAGATCCTGCTAGCACAATGTTGACAGGTGGGAGACAGATTCCTGGTGCTTCCTACTCACCATCTTCCCAAAACTCATTCCCGCTTTACTTCAGTTTTACAGAAACTTTGTAAATTGAGTGGGGTTCATTTAATAGTTTACATTTTAGTGATTTTAAAACTGTTGGACTTTTTGCTGTTTTTGACATTTTTGTGTTCATTCATTCATGCAGTTAATGCCAAGGTAGAATCTGCTTATGGAGTGAGAACTTGTGCCCATGTGCAGGGAGAAGTGCGTGGTGCAGTAGCCAAAGCCTACCCAGATGCTCTGTGACTTCACCTCCTCACCATGGGGCACCGCAGCCCCCTCGCCTTCTCTGCTCACTGTCTGCTACCCTGTTTCCAGCTCCCTCGCCTCTGTTCAAACAGGGCCCCACTGGAGAGGCCTCCTACAGCCCACTTTACAAGACAGTCTCTCCTCTGTGCCCTTCCCTCCCCAGCCCTGCACGCCACTTCTCTACCCAGCTGTCTCCCCCAGAGAACTCACTGTCAGCCGACAGGAGCTAGTCTGCCTGGGCTGCTGGCACACACTTCCAGAGTGGGAAATCCATCTTCTCCCCGTCCCGGAGGCTGGAAGTCCAAGACCCAGGTGTGGGCAGGGCTGGTTCCCCCGAGGCTGAGGAGGGTCTACTCCCGGCCTCGCCCCTCCTGCCACTGGCCTGAGAGGACCTTGGCTTGTTAGGCTTTTCTCCCCGTGTCTTCACGCTGCCCTGTGCTGTGTATGTTTGTCTCTGAGTCTGAACCCACCTTTCATATGGACACCAGTGATACTGGCTTAGGGTTCACCCTATTGACCCCAGCTTAACTGAATCTACGATGGCCCTATTTCCAAATCAGTTCACATTTGGGCTTTAGGGTTTCAACATACGAATTTTTAGGTGACATAATTCAACCCATCGTAGTACAATCGATTTCTACAGCATCTCTAGAACGTGGACCCCTTGAGAGCAGGGCTGGTCTTGCTGTTCACTGCTGCATTAGGAAGCAGCTCCTGGCGCCCTGCTGGCATCCTGCATGCTCACCGGATGGGGAACGCAGGCGTTTCGGTCTGCTGGGGTGAAAGCCTTTGCAGTACAACATGCTTTTACATAACAGTGTAGCTTAATACTCCGTTAAAGTGGTCCTAACAGGATTTCACAGGCAACTCGTGACTTTGAACCTGAATGCTAGCCTTCAGGATGAGCCATCAAGCTGCAAACCACCCTGGTGACGCTCGTGCCTCTTGACAGAACAGGTCCCCAGCCAGGCGGCCTTGTGGGGAGTCTGCGGCCACAGTGGCTTCCGCGAGTGCCCCCACCCGCTGCCCTGAGTTGCTGCCAGTGGGCTGGCTGCCTGGTTTCCACGCTTACCCTTCCACTGGGTAGTTAAATCGCCCCTCATTGGGTCCTGGTTCACATCAGAGCCCATTAAAAACAGGTGCTTTCTCCATGGATCTGCCCCGTCTTCAGTCAGAGTCCCCGCATTCGCCGCACCTGTCCGTCCCTTTGCCCTTCTCCCCTTTATTGTATTTTTACTGAAGGCCGAGAGGAGCCAGTCTCCGCACGGTCAGACACTTGCGCTTCCCACAGCCCCGTCTGCACTGCACTGTTTGCCTGGTTGCTTGAAACTCAGGTGACCCCTCGTGCCTGAGGGGGCAGCTGACCCCAGGCCAGGAGAGCAGGGTGTGTGTGGGGACCAGGGAGCGGGGCTGTGGGGACCAGGGAGCGGGGCTGTGGGGCCACGGGGCTTTAGTTCTCCAGGACTGCTGGCTCTGTGGTGACTGCTCCCCATCCCCGCTGTCGTCCGCAGCCCCCTGCGCCCCGAGGAAGGAAGGCAGCTGGTGGAGGACGTCGCCCGCCTCCTGCAGATGCCCAGCAGTGCATTCGCCGACGTGGAGTAAGTCCGGGGCCCTGGGTTCCTGTTTGGCTCCTGTTGCTCGGACACAGAGACTGGATGGGAGGGAAGGAGCTGCGAGCCCGTGGCTCTTGTTAATTACACGAGGGAACCTGTTTAGAGAAGTGAAAAGGTGATTTCAGCAGCTTTGGTAAGGTATTTAGAGGCAATGGAAACCAGTGTTTAAGGAGAAGGATGAAAATCTCCTGAAGGACGTTGTCGCTGCAGCCAAGTGTCAAACCTGTGGTGCTGGAACCACCCAAGGCTCTAGAACATTCTGCACATGCCCTGTGCCAATGTGTGGGAGCCTCTGGATGGCCCACCCCAGAGAACGCTGAGGCCGCATTCATGAGCACCTGCTGTGGACACGGCCCTGTCCCTGGCTGTCAGGAAGACGTGCTGCCCTGCGGAGACCTGGCTTTGGATCCCGAGCCTCTGCAGCTCCCACAGCAGGCGTGGCCCTGGTCTCAGCGTGACCTGGTTTAGAGAGTTGTGGGCACGAGGCATGCAGGGCT